TGAGGGAAAATATGTGTGTATGTAGCAATGTAGGGAAACAATAAAAAAACTAATCTTGTTGCTCAGATCCTGTCACTGCTCAATGGAATATATAAAATCTTAATAGATTTATTGCTGCAAGGCAAAAAAAAATGTGTGTGTGTGTATATATATATATGCATGCTGCATATATATATATATACACATATATACATGCATATGTATTTTTACATTGCAGGAATACATATGCATATATATATGTATATATATATATATGTATATATATATATATATCTCCATCTTTTAGATACATGCATACATACAGAGAGAGAGAGAGAAACAATTATACATCTAACACCCAGAATCAAAGAAGCATCAGTCCCACCATGTATTTAGTTTAACTGTAGAGGGAAGATTAAGCCACGTCAATCTACCTTATTTTATTAAAATAGTTAATTACTTATGGTTGGCAGGAAAGACATGTAGATGTTCATACCAATAAAAGAGACTAGGATACAGAAAACAGAATAGAAAGCAAAAATATAAGAAATAATACCAATGAAAAGAGTATGCAAATCCAAAGCAATGTCACCTGAAACAAGGACAGAGATGGTTTTTAAATGTCCTTCACTTATAAAGGCATTCAAGCCAGTTTCCATTTATGTTGAATTGGTGGTTTTAAAATTTTGAAATTTTGAAAACATAAAATTTATGGAAAGACTATTTTGGAATAATTGAAATTTATGCACAACTTACTACTATACAATCTTTGTGAACTAAAGTCATATTTACGGCAACTTATTTCATGGGTTACCTATTTTATCAGATCAGTAGGATATTTGGGTTTTTGCGTAAAATATTCTGTGTTTTAAACTTGAGGTCAAATTTTATTTTATTTATTTATTTTTTTAAAGATTTTATTTATTTGAGAGAGAGAATGAGACAGAGAGAGAGAGCATGAGATGGAGGATCAGAGGGAGAAGCAGACTCCCTGCCGAGCAGGGAGCCCAATGCGGGACTCGATCCCGGGACTCCAGGATCATGACCTGAGCCGAAGGCAGTCGCTTAACCAACTGAGCCACCCAGGCACCCGAGGTCAAATTTTAAAACAAAGTTCCACTCTCAGGACAAAATCAACAGTTCCTTTAATACTCAGATGGGGACTCTGGATGACCAGTTTACCAACTCTCAGATATTTATTCATACATCATTTTTCTGATTTATTTCAGTGATGGCAAAATTACTAAGTCAATTTAATTATAGCTATTCATATGCTTCATTCCAATAAGTTTGACTTTTTTGGTTGAGATAGGAATTGGTTTTGGTTCTTTTCAACTAGGTTATTCCTAAATCTACATTTCTAAATTCCTACCTATTTATTTCGCATGCTGAAAAGTTAAAAAGAATTCAGAAAGCCATGGGAAATAACAGAAGTCATGGCTAGGTCCTGTCCAGCCTCTGCCACCATGCTGGAGAAGAGACAGGCTGACAAAAGCATCCAAAATTATCCAACTTTGATGGGTATTTTCTACAAACAAATCTCAACGTACTGCTTGTTTTAGACTTAGAAATAAACACTTGTATAGAAATAGTGTCATTGCCATCACCCACTCAATTTCTGGTTCCCTACAACCAGACCAAGAGGACAAATAGAGCTGCTTCTATATGAGAAGACAAATGAGTACTTGCACAAGCCAAGAAGGCTCTACGTCCTTCTTTCACTTGCTTGTTCTCTTGTTTGGTAAACAGTAATTGAGGAGTCTCTTCCATGTGTCAGGAATCATTGTGGCAGTGACCACGACTGCTGTGGTCCCTACTGCCATCGAGTTTCCTCTGGTTGGAGAAACAGACTTTAAATAATGAATTATACCATTTTAATTTATTTTATGAATATTATGACAAACACAAAAGAAAAGCATAGGATGATGTGGAAATATACAACCAGGGGAGCTGATCCCCTATTCTTTGAGGATGAGGAAGGCTTCCTTAAGGAAGTGACTTTTGAGCTGAATTCTGAGTGGCTCAGGAGAGTGTTCTAGAAAGAAGAAACACGGAAAAATGACAGTGCCTCGTGGAAGCAGAAATGATGTTTTTGTAAGAGATACACAGAGTAAATGCAGGAGTAAAAATGGGTCTTAGAAGAACTGGCTCTTATTGTTGACCTCTAGGCCACCTCTGGAAGGGGGTGAGGGAGGATAAGCTGGAAGGAATTCAAGCAAATACTTATTTTTTAATGTCATTTCTATAGTTTAATGTATGTTTTAGGAGAATGTAATATCACATTTTGCCCATTTTAAAAATAAAAAGAAGTGATATATTCTACTGTTTGTCCTTGAGGGTGTCCTTGAGAGATCATTATAGTTCTAGACAGGAGTGAGTGGATGATTCAGATGAAAATTTCCTTGTTACCTAGCTTTAGATGGCATTAATCATTAGTAAAAGCCAATGAGTATTTCATGACCATTTTATTTTAAATATTTTTTCTTAATTTTTTCTCTTTTAATTAATTGATGAGTGGTTAATCAATTTTTCACTCAGACATGAAAATGTACTCTCTCTATTCACAGCTCATGCTCACTACAAACAGATCGATCCCTTGGCCAACCCACTTTGCATCTGTACTCGTTCACATCAGCTCTTCTGGAAAGCTTGATTTAGGACCAAACATGTAAAAGCTGAGTTGAACAAATGTCAGACTTTATTCACCTTCATTTCAAACCATATGTATCATCATTCATAAAACTTATCAAGCATGCTGCCATATTCACAAACATGTCTAATATGCAGGTCTCTTGGATGCCACATTGACATAATTCTAGCCTAACATCTACCCACCTCTCCACTGACCTTCATTTTCCTATATCCCTGTATAGTTCTGTCTCCTCATTACACTCTCCTGGTCATTTATCTCTTGCCATCTCAAATCTCTGTGATAAAGAAGCTAACTTGCTTTCTAATTCCAGATTGCAACCTTGAGGCATCTATTCACAAGTATTTAATGCAGGTATTAAAGATTTATTTTATTTATTCATTTGAGAGAGAGAGAGTGACAGAATGAACAGGGGGTAGGGTCAAAGGGAGAGGGAGAAGCAGACTCCCCGCTGAGCAGGAAGCTCCATGTGGGGTTCGATCCCAGGACCCTGAGATCATGACCTGAGCTGAAGGCAGGCGCTTAACCGACTGAGCCACCCAGGTGCCCTTTAATACCTTTTAAGCAATGTATTCAGGGTCCCAGTCAGACTCTGATTTGGTACTCATAGCAGGCCTGATTATTTCTATTACAAACTTATGCTTCCCTGGCCTATTTTTTTTTCCACTGGATAAAGCATGGGACTAGGAACCAGAAGACCCAGGTGTAGGTCCTGGCTTCTCCATTTGGTTGAGGTGCAACTTTAGCTCACCCAGGCCCTCTGGATCTCTACCTCCTCATCTATGAAGGCTGAGGGAGCATGCTGGTCTTTCTCCATCACTGGGCTGTACTGAGTGAGGGCCTTCCCTGACCTCGTTGAGGAGTGAGGACTCCAAAATGTATATTCCCTTAGCATCCAGCATTACTTCTTTGAAATCCTCATTACTCTTGCAATTGCTAATTCAATGCTGGTTTTTGTCCACCCACCCTGAAGTACCCTTCAGTAAGCTCCACGAGGGCAGGGGCTGTGCTTTTCTTGGTCAGGACTCTCTTAGCATCAGTAAATAGCGGCCGATGGATTACTAAGTGAAAGTGCGTTTTAGGCAAGAAGCTACAATTGCTGTCATTCTTATGACCGTCAGTAGCAATGGTAATACTAGAAGTAGTTGTAGGATTTAACTATTAGCACTGTCACATCCAATATACAACAGAAAGAGAGCCACAACATAATATGAGATATCATCAATATTCATTGTAAACTCTTCCTCGCCATTCTTTTAACTGACAGGAACAAATCACTACATGATTCAAAGGCCATATGAACGTAGCTCCCTGTAATGGTTCAGAGTACAATATTTTGCTTCTCATGTAGTAATCCTTGAAATGCACAACGAGCCCCCACCTCGAGAATGACCCAAAAGAAAGAAAGAAGGTGTGTTCTAATCCTGAAGCAGATGACAAAGCCTTTCCGAGTTTTGGGGAGGGACATAAGCAACTACAAAAATCAGTCCCTTGTGAGAAGAGGATTTGTAACTGAAAACCAGAGGGAAGAAAATAAAATTCTCCAGGAGGAAGAGCCAATTTTCAGTCCCTAGGATGGCGTGGCTTGACTTTTCACCCTTATAAAGAGTAGGGAAATGGACAGAGTGAAAAGGCTGTGGGATGGGAGGGATGCTCCTTTTGGAAAGGTGACATGGTTCTGAATAAGTATTATTGATATTTTGGGGCGGGAAGGGGGGCAAAACACGAGAAGGTGCCAGTGTAGCCCACCAAAGCAAAGAAGGAGTTTATTGGGTTTCAAGTGAAGCTCAGGGCAGTCCAAAAATCCATAGGCCCGAAACCCGATGGGACATCCCCCGTTCACTTCCCAGGACTTGGAACCCATGTGCAATCCCGGAGCCTTGTGTTTGCTGCAGGTGCACCTGTTAAGGAAGCAGCTCTATTATGTCACATTACTCAGCTTGCAGATGCCAAACAGACTACCTCTTAAGACATTCCCTCCCAGGTACTTGGTAAGGTACTCAATTAAGTGAATCGTGATTGTGACTGCCCTCCCTTAAATAATTCAGGCCTTTGTAGAGTACTTTTATAACATCCAATATGACAACAGAATTCTTCACTGATTTAATACTGTTGGCACGATGTTATTACTTGTGATGTTATTACCTTCATTCACTTGAAATTGACCAAATCATGCCGTGTATCTAAAAAATAAATAAATAAATAAAAGGTGGGTCCTGGGAATATGGAATGGCGTCAAATACTGTCCCTGACCCCAGGACCATAAACTTGGGCAGACCTAGAGTTTGGAGAGCAGTGGACTTCCTTGTATAAAATAGAAGTCACAGATCTTTTTTGCTGGGTGAGTTTTAAAAAGAGTATTGTACTGCACCTGGAGGCAGGCTGGGGCGCGTCCCTGGGGCTTGTTGACATCCACAGCTACCAGCTGCCATCCACCGGCAGCGTCTTCATGAAACATCTTCAAGACAAAGAGGGAGATGAGTCAGAGACACTTAATACAGAACATCATGAACTCCTACTTTATGTCTCCAGCTTCTACCGTTTTTATGTTATCAAAGATTTGTCTTTTTGTGGATTTATATTTAGAACCTGAGTCATTCCAATTATGTTCACTGGAACACCGAAAACTTAAGTGAATAATAATCTAACAAGAATAATGGCAATAGCTAGCCTGCATTTATTGAGCATTTGCTATGCATCAGGTCCTTTCTGCTTTACACGTGCTTTGCATATAATTGCCCAAATATTCTTCTCAACGAGACTTGATAGGAGGTATTTTATCCCCATTATACTGGTGATTATTACATATTAGACCTGGGGAAAAAATAAAAATTAGAATTCCAAAGCATTATGTCTAGCATGTTTTTGACTGGGAGTGGTGACTTTTTATCTTTATTTACTGGACATTCCTCACCGAGTCAACAGAAAAATATTCTTGGGATAAATAACAGAAGAACTATGCATGTGGCACAGGGAAGGAGACTGACTATTTTAATGGGAGAAGACTGACATGTCACTTAGTGGACTCTGTTAAATTATTTTAATGATGCCAAATTAATCTGCTCAGCAAAAATTTTATGTATTTTGTCTTAAAATACATAAGTGATGAAATTCAGAATGGTATAGGATACTAAAATCTGATATTCATTGAATGGGATAGCTGGATTGTTGGATGCCTGGGTTATTATCTTACTGCATACTCTACTCCCTCAAAAATTAGTCATCCGTCAATAATACACCCAACTGGAAGACATTTCCCACTTATAAATATTTTATGCTAGTATATTTTCTTTCCAATTCCTTTTGTGTGTGTAGGGGGAGGGGTGTGGTTGAAAGTGAGATAAGGTGGAATTAAGGATTTTTATTTTTCTGAGACACTAACTAGAAGCTATGTTTATTCCTGCCCAAGACCACAGTTTCACACACATAACTAAATATTTTCTTTGCCATACTTATTCATGCCCTCACATTAGTCTGTGTTCAAAAGGGTAATTATTGATGGAAATATGAGATAATGCAAAGATGCCATACCTAAGATTCCTGGGAGTAGAGGTAGTAGATTATTTGTACAAAGAAAACTTGTGAGGTGGTGAGGGACAGTGCCAAAATCCATAGACCTTAATATGTATTTCTTTTTATTAGAAAACATTTTTTTAATGATTAAACTGATAATTCTCAACAATGCCAACCTACAAAGATCCACTCAGAAAAATGGTGTATCAGATGTTCATGCGTCCTAGAATCAGTACTTTCCGAAGATTGCACTGAGGGCTCTTTGCCAAGTATGCTACTTATTTCATACTTTCCAACATATACAGAGAGCACCTACTATATGACATTCTGCAAAATACTGTTACACATATGCTCAATTTAATTATTCCATGAAGCATTATCCTGACTTATTTTTACATTATGCTGTGCTCACCACAAGTGTAGCTACCGTCTGTCCATATATACCATATAAGTATTTTTAAATGACAAAATGGAGTTGCATATTTGCCCAAAGATCCTTTGATCCAAGATACCAATTACAAACTGTTTTTCTTAGGTGCTATGTACAGGATTCTGATTCCCTTTAGAATGAATTTTGAAAGGTACTCTTAGTGGTAGAATCAAGCACATCCCCGTGAATAGGCTCATTCTGAGAATTCATACATTGGTTGAAATGCAAACCTTTTAAAGTGCCTTTTAAAGTTGCTGTCAAAATTCTGGGTGTCTCCTTTTAAGGAGAAAAGACAAAAGCAATCCTGTCAGTCACTAGCTAAAAATCTTCTGTACATGCATCCTATACTCTCTTATCGTTGCACAAAGGATCCCTGGGGCATATATTTGCTTTGATCAGTAGCAGACTAATTTTCTCTGTTAAATTATTTTTTTCCAGTTGACCAAAATCAAATGAATCAATTTAATTGTCAGTAAAATTGTTCTCTCAAGGTCACTTCTTTGTATAAAATGAAGTGACGGAAATGCAGACATATTTGATGTCTAATTTCTCTTTAGTCTCCTGAATTATACGACAAAATTTAGATTGGTTAATGTAACAATTATGTGAGGTAGAAAACAGGATATTCAAATCCAGGAATCCTCAGGGCTCAAGTCCTGTCTCTCCATATCCCTCAATATGACCCTACTGGACCATAATTTGTATATACATACTGATTGCCAGAGCCTGCCTTGAGTCTCTTATCAGTATACGTAACAAAAACGCAGACTTTGTGGCCCTAAAGTTGAACAGTTCTTTCAGTTCTTCTCCAGGCAAAGTGAAATAAGCTCATCCGCACCATGAATCGGCGTAGATGGGAAGACCACATGACTGGTGACAGATGTCTGAGGTGAAGCATCTAAGGAGTGAGAATAAAGGCCTGGGCTAGAGAAATGTTAAGTCCAGGACACTTTTTGGTAGCACGTCTGTCCCTCCCAACAGCCAGCTCTGGTGCACTACCCCTGCGCATGTGTGGCCTGGGTAGGCCTACTGTGGGCTGATGTGGGCGCCATTGTGTCACAGATGAATGAGTCTCTTGGCCTTTAACCCAACAGCTAACTGAGCTGGTGGCAACAGGGACCCATGGCTAGTAATCATGCAGGTATGAAAGCCACTATCCCCATCAGAGCTCATGCAAACTAATGATTACCACTCTGAAAGTTTCCACTTCATTTTCTCTTTGTTTTCCTGTCACACGTTTGTATTACGGTCCCCACAAGTCCTTTGACATTAATTTTTTCTGTAATATGTTTCGAGGCTGTGATTCGAAGGCAGGTTGCTTTGTTATTAAAAATTAAAAAAAAACCCAAAAAACCTCCCAGTTCTCATCACTGGTTCTCTTTTGCCTCTGAACAGTCCATATTAGAGCCAATTCCTCTTAAACTGCTTAAGATCTCAGAAAGTCCGTTTTTCATCCCGTTAATATGTATAATTTTCTCTCTAAACACACAGCCCTCTTGGAAGAGTCAATGGACTCAAAGACACCACCAAGCCCACCAAGCCTGGGACCTCTGTGGCTCTTCTGTGAGGATAACTTAACATAGAACAACTGCAAATGTTCCACATGCTGAAGAATGGCAAGAAGTGTCGCCATTACTGAAAAGCTGTGTCCTGTGCAATAAAAGGCCATCTTTGTTTTCATTTCCTTAATGCCTACCTGTTTTACTACAATTGGAAACTAATGATTTAGTGTTTTAAACAATTCAATGAGAGGCCCTTGTGCGCAGAGTTCTGTCAGATTTTACAAATGTAACAGACTCTCAGGAAATGATGCGCCCCCCCCCCCCCCACGCGAAAGCCTCTGGGCCACTCGCCGAGTGGCTGGCGACGGGCTGGGCGGGGCCTGTTGCCAGGCAGCCCGAGTGCTGTTCTACCGAGGCTCGGCCTGGAGCTCCGGTTGCCTAGCAACCGGGTCCTCAGCCACAGCATTTTTCTTAATGAAGGTTTTTCACGGTCCTCTGTGTGATTACCTCTGCTGAATACCTAGACGCATTACCTCTGAATTACCAACGTATTCCTCCTGCTTAAGTATAATTTTGCATCAAAACCATTTTACACAACTTTGTTGAACGTCCCCTTCGCATTTCACTTTCTATTAGAACCGCTGGCTGATGTGGGGGAGCTTCCCGAAACTACTTTCTCAGCTGTGGCTTTATAAATACGAGTTACGGGATGAGCATGATGTGGTTTTAAAGACATCTTAGGTCATCTCTCAGGAACACTGAATGTAAATTCTGCGCTGAGTTCATAGATCTATGCTCCATTTAGTTCTCAATGCCGATAGCAGAAAACACACCTTCCAATCGCTTCTCGGCCTTTTGGCTAAGATCAAGTGTAGAAAACACACCTTCCAGAGGTTGTCACCTGACTTAAAGGACAGACCAGAATGGACCTGGAACTTCATTAATTCTCATGGTTCACTGGAGGAGATGACAGAAGAAATAAAAACTAGGTTTTTTGGGTTTTTTTACATGTCATCTGTGACATAACTTCATAACTTTAAAAAAATCTTTCATGAAAATTTGAATAGTTGCTTGCCAGAATTGAATACTATTAATACTATTTCATCTATAATGAGTTGGCCAGATGATTCAAACTTTCACAACACCATCAAGATGCTGCATAGGGCTTTTTCAAATATTAGCACATTTAATAGCATTTTTAACATATAGTTAATAAAAGTTCAATTTGAAGATTTTCACAGTAAAATTTTTGCCTTGGCTCTTTCACAAATACCTTTGTCCCCAAACCACTATTTACAAAGTCCTATTAAACTATTTACAAAGTTATATTAAATTTCTCTTAAAAATGAATATTAAAATAATTAGTCACAAGCATTAAAATCATTTCATTCTTGATTCAGGAATTTTTTCTCTCTCTCTTTTATAAAGATTCAAATTAGACTAAGATATATAAACCTTCCCTGCCTCTTTCTAAACACAAAAACAGAACCCCCCAAAAACACACACACAAAACCAAACCAAAATTAAAAACAAAGACATTGGATCTGGATTGCCCTTCAAAGTAATAACTGCCCTGATACTTATAATTAAATTCTAGGGCACTCCCAATTTCTTGGGAGTATAGGAGCACCCTTCTGAATAGATAGTGATTCCTCAAAAATCACAGGTATGCATTATGGAGTCTTCTTCATAATTTACCATACTGTGATTGGCTCGTTCTGAATGAAATATACCTTACATTCCCCAAATAATTCTACTCCTATACATAAAGGCCATTATATTGGTTTTCAATTACATGAATAAATATTTATAAAAATGGGAAATTCTACAGTTTCCATTTTTATCTGTAAGCCTTCTGAAGACTTACAATGGCCAAATCAAATCAAAAGTACATAGTAAATGTGGTGACAATCTTGGCTTTATATCGAATCCACCCGATCACCCAGAAAAGCTGATCTGGTCGGTCTGGGCTTGGGCTCTTGCACCAGCATTTTTGAATAGCTCCCTCCGTGGGCGTGACGTAGAAGGCCTTTATCAGAGGGCTTTCCCAAGTTCCATCAAGGCCCACTGAGGGTGGGGCCGGATATGTCCGTGTTCTAGTGGGAAAGGACATCACCTCCCCTCCATACGGTACCTGCGTGGTGGCCGTTGACGTAGTACTGCTTCTCGATCCCCACATCTGTTGAAACTGTACCCTGATTTCTGCAAATGTTTCGATGATGACAGCGATAAATACATTCTGAAAGAAAATCACAAACCACGTTTACTAAAGACTGGGGATGAGGAAGTGGAGGGCAACAGAAAGCAAACAAGAGATCTGCAGAAACGGCCGGAAAACACAGATTTTATTAGGGATGAGTTTCTGCGGTACCTTCACAAGCCAGGCCAGGAAGAAGATGAGCGTGATGAAGTAGAAGTAGGACCTCCAGCGGGGGAAGCTGTCAATTGCTCTGTACATGAGGAACACCCAGCCTTCCTGGGACGCAGCCTCGTAGACCGTGAATATGCTGGTGCCTGTCAGGACACAAGAGAACAGACTGAGTTACCACGGGCTCAGGAAATGGGGAAACACTGTTCAGAAAAAAAATCAATATTTATCCATGCTCATTTTCTCAATGACAAAAACTCTTTTAAAGGGACTGAAATCACATGCAACATTTGATTGCGCTTATTCTTAGGATTTTGATAAAGTTGTTTCTGACTTCAAGCCAGGGCAATTTCACAAGCAATAAAATAACTTTATGTTCTATCTTTAGCTGTTAAATGCATCTAAGAGCTTGGAAAAGGAAATGAACATTCAAACCAAGTAAAGCTGTAATAAAAAATAATGTGTAAAGTATAAGCTTGCCACTTGGGGCTTAACACTTTGAGTGTGCTGAAAGCGCTTGTTATTGTTTCAGCCAAAATGAAATAAATTTGAGAACTGGGTTTCATTTGAAGTCACTCTCTCAGAGGGACACTAAAGTTCCTAGGGCTCCAAAAATTAATATGATGGAGCCTGTCTTCGGATTCCATGGTGTTTACTGAACGCTGAAACGTAAGACAGTAAATCATCAAATGGCACTTTGTATTGTCTGGGAGAACTATCTCATTGCAAAAGCTACTGCTGATGATGGAAAGAAAGAAAAAAATATATATATGCAGACAGATCTTTAAATAGTTCAGAGAATCTAAAATGCCATTTTGGGGAAAGACAGTGTTCAATTCTCATAACATTATGAGGGATATGTGATTATTTCCCCATTTTATAGATGGGAAAACTAAAGCACATAAAGACTAAGTAATTTATCTAAGGATGCACAGATAATAATAGGGGAAGTAGAATTAACCCAGGCATTCTGGAAAGAAGCCCTGCATATCTAACTGTGATGATACCCTGCCTCCTGACATCCTTTCTGTGGTTTGTTTTCCCCATCTGTAAAATGGGTAAATAATATCTCACAGGGTGGTGAAGACTAAATAATTTCATTTCTGTAAAGCATTGACGCATGGTGAGTACTGAATAAATTTTAAGTACTGTTATTGTACAAATTGAAAATAATTGCTTAATGTGATTTTGTGCAAAAACACATAAGTAAAAAGAGTGCTGAATTAAAGTTGTTTGTAAAACAAATATGATACATGTTGTTATTCACAAAACTATAAACATTTGCACCCAATAGATTCCACTGTCATAAACAGGTTATTAGAGGATATAAAACTAATTATCCACCCATGTATGTTCTAATCACACAGAAGTTTAAAATGAGAATATGTATACGATCAGATGTCCAAACTAAGAAGGGGGTTCCTAAAGTTGGCTGGTGACCAGCTGCTTCTCTGAGCCGGTGCATGCAGGAAGAATAATTACAGCATCAATGAACCAAAGTGTGCAGAACAGCAGAAAAGCCTAGTGGTAAATGGGGACAAATGGGACAGAAGCAGCTCTGAAAGAAAAGCTGAGAAAGAAGGAAAGCGTATTCTCATTTAGTGAATGCCTATTACGCTAAGTACTGTACATGAAATGTAACTTCATATAATCATATTTTGTACATTGAAAAGTTGTTGCCATAACAACTAGTATTTGTAAATCATATTTGGTGTCAAGGCTCTTTTACATATTTCAGTGCTAAGGAAACCTCTAATGAGGCAGGTAGGTGGGTAGGTGTGTATAAGAGCAGGTATTATCCATCACATCCTTTTACAGAAAAACAAAGTGAAGGTCACTAGTTAATGAATTTGCCTGGGGTAGAAAGTGATAGAACCAGAAACTGTACCCACACCATCAGGTTCCAAGTCTTAAACTCTTTTTTTCTTTAGCATCTTACTTTTATTTTCTCTTGCTCCAGACTAGGACTTTCAAGAGAGTATTTTTTCTCTAGTTTGAATGAAGTCTTTTTTTTTCTCCTTAGGGACTATGGTGGCTAAGGATATAGCATACTGAGAAACTCATACAAGAAGATGGCTTTTAAGGAAAAGATTCAGAGAAGAACAGCATGCACAAAAAATAAAACGCCAACAGAAAACAGAAGTCACTCTTTTCATTAATGATTTATATGTACTAAAAATGTCCAACATTTTGCTTTTGTGGACTGCATATGAAAGACAATTTTCACATAAAACAAATCATTTATGTCCCTTATTTTCTTCTAGTTATTTGAACTAAAACAGAAATGTGGCTACAGAAATCCATTATGAACAACTATTAAAGCTTAATAGTTTTACCAATTGAGCATTTACAGGTAAAATATGAGCACTGTCAATGTAAGGTTAAAGGAACACTGAATTACCCTTCCAATATCTGGCCAGGTCCTTCTTTATTAAATCTACAGGGAATATGCTATTTGGGAGTAAGTACAAAAATAATATGTTCTAATCTTGAAGAGTTTCCTTCATTTTTCCTATTTTGACACACAAAAAAGGGAAAGAAGTAGAAACCCACCATGTGACTCAAAGAGCGGGGTTTGTTCATACAAAGAGATGAGATGTTTGTGAAAATGTAACCAAAAAACTCCAAGAGCAATGCTGACTACTGAAGGAAGTGCGTCCCCTACCTGTGAGCTACCCTGGATCAAAGGCTGTGAAGAAGCTACTAAGAGTTGCAGGAGCAAACGCAATTGGATAAGACCTTCCTCATCACTTTTCTGCTCCTGACTTTGCGAAGTGTATGAAAAGAAAATCCCTTTTGGAAAGATTTCCCAATGGTTCACCACCATTTAAACTGACAAAAATCAAGCTTATGATCATCTTATTTTCTTTGGTAAGTGGACAACGCTGAGGAAGAAAACTAGAGCTGCTCAAACTACTTTGCACACACTGCTCTCTGTCTCCCCCCCGCCCCCTTCTTCTCTCGGGTCCTCTTAGCTGAGTCCTGTGAGGCAGCCCTGCTCACCTCCATTGCCCTCAAGCTACACTGCGTTCTTAGACCTCCCAGGGAGCCCGGCTCGCACCTGCCACCTCACTTATCTTGTGTCCTGAGTCCTGCTGCCTCATTTATCTCCCTCACTAGCACGAATTAGCTAACTAACTTGGTGAGCACTCAAAGTTAAAACTATCTTTCACCTCTGTACCTGGCATTGTGAGCACTCAGGAATTGCTGATAAACTAAACAATTATCATGGTATTAAGACATATGAAGGCTTTTTCAAATATCTGCTTTTGTATTAATTCTTCCTCACTGTGACTATTGCACAGATAATTTGGAAGCAAATTATGTAAAATTATTATTTTACAACTGATTTTATGTTTTGCTGACTTCCAACATTCACTTAAAACACATACACATGTATAGATTTCAAAGCCCATACTAAATCCTAACCAGAAAGTCTTCCTCTATTGTTTGATCCACCATGGGAAATTTCTAGAAAATATTATATATTATACATACAAAATATTTTTTCTAGATATACCCCAGAATACTTTTAGTCCATTTTAATTATAGAACCAAACTTGCTAGCTGAAAAAACCACATTTTGTTAAATGAATAATGATTCTACAATAGCATGTGGGGATAGAATGCATTCTCTTTCTGTAAAACAATGTGGCCTGCTCCAAAAATATCTCTGCGAAGCTACTGGAATTGTACCACATTCTTGGACCCCAAATTCTTAAAGCAAAAATTCAAGTTGTAGAAGAAACAAAATCACGACACTCAGCTCATCAATTCTAATTTCATTCATCCTTCTTGACCTTGTCCATCGGTGGTTTGAATTCAGTGGATAAGAAGACCCATTAGCCTACATCTAGAAAATAAATACCCTGGAACTTTCCACAGGCTGCATATACTGAGAAATAGCAGATATTTTTATAGCTCTGAAAAAAATATATTTCCATTGTTTTGACTACCTTTAGTATTACATTTATTGCTTGGCTATCTTCTGTTCTTTTTCCATAAAAAAAGTGATAAATTGTGTCCTGGGAATATTCCCTATTGTTTCTTCTAGTCCTAGGTTACACATCACCATTGAGTCATTCAACTTTCAAAAACAGGGCCACAAGATTGTAGTGACAACTAATAATAAGCTACTAACCTGAGGTCCCACCATCAGACTCCTCTTCAAATACAAAATATATGTGGCGCTCTTCTAATAATGGCGATACCCAATCCATTGTGAAAAAAATTGGGCATTTAGAATTGGTGATGTAGCCTTGAGACAGTTGAATAAATAAGTATATCAGGCCCTAGTATGAACAATAATAACCTTTATTCCCATGCTCAGAATTCCCAATAGAACCACAAAGGTTCCTTTTAGGACCATCCATTCCATCCTCTCTCAATATTAGGATCCTTGGAGAAACATTCCTGAACTTTAATCCCTCCAGTGATACAGAACACACATCCTCTTGAGGCAGCCCCATTCCAGGTCAGGCAATCTATCCCATTGGATGTTGGCTCTGGCTCCGTCCCTCTGGAATCTGCTCTTAGCTTTGCAAAGCATAGCAAGCTACAGGAGTCTAGAAGTGGTCCCTATACTTCCAGAGTAAGTCATCCCTCCTTCTACCTAGGTCATCCTGCTATAGATACTTGTCTTCTTATCTGGTCCTTCAACATTTTCAGCCTGCTGTACCTTTTATGAAACTTATCTCATTGTCTGTCTTCACTTCCCACCAGGGCACAGATTCTCACTTATGGGGGGGACAATGACAATATTCTCATTACTCAAGAACATCAGCTTCCTTCCAACTTTTCTAAGTTGCTCTCTCTGTTCCTCTGGCTAACTTTGATTGGATCTCACCCTTTTTGGAGATCAGCTGATTGACTTTTCCTCTTCTACCTTCTAGGCTGAGCGTCCCCCTCAGCTGGAAGGGAGAATGAAGTTATATGTTTCTCTACCACTACACATGAATGTCTGTGATCTAAAAGTGCATTCAATAATCTGCTCTTAACCAGTATATTTTACTGTGAAAGGATATAATCCCCATCCTAGACTCCAAATGGATGCCTTTTTTAGCGACTATAGTTGCAATGACCAAATATTCAGTCCTGAAAGGGGATCAGATAAGAGAACACACGTAAAGAGCTTGATCTTTGCATG